AAGGAAATCACTATTCTATAAATTTAAAATTTTTGGAAGTTTCAAGAAATCGGTCCATCAATAATTGTAAATTACAATTTCTTCTATTTTTACATCGAACAGATTTTTATTTATTACTGGTAGATTAAATTAAATAAGCCATTCACTTGGTTTCAAACATACGCGATGGGTAATAGCGTTAAATCACAGGACAGTTTTATCCTAGATTTACTCTAAATATAAGACTAACCTAACCATTATCCTGAGAGGTTGAAATTACCCTAGAAACGGCAGCAGTGTCTGCAAGTCAATTAATTTATATCTCCGTTCGATTTGCTGATTTACACGTACCGCTATCTATTGGCAGTAAATTTAACAAAATAATAAACTAAATATAATTCTTATAAAAAAAGGATATAACTTCAAAATATATATGTTAGATTCACTTAATTAATACGACAATGATATAGCGCTACGTAGCCGCGCTATCATTAGTGAGACAGGTAGCATATAGCATTTGCCTGCATGCAATCGAAATTGTTATTCTGTGAAAAATCTATAAGTATTTAATTTTCTCATTGCTGAACGGGTTTCTAACTCGGGATTTTTCATTTGTGAACGGTACTTTCTTAATTCTAATTCTAAAATAAGCGCCATCCAGTAGCCGAGTGCATAAAACCACGGAACTCTGTTACTGTAGTTAGTTAGTCGTGGGTTCGGGCATGGCGAATGGACTGACCGCATGAATTTTTTCGGTTTTTTTTACCTAAATAGTCTCTAGCTTCCCAAAAAAGATTTCTTGGGATGCATCCCCGGCTGATCACTTACGTATCGTGTTGCAGTAACCAAATAAATCAAACTAATTCTAACGAGAGCGGTTATTTATTGTGGCATCGTCACAATGCCAGGCTGCTACTTCTCGTCACAATTTTCTCAATTTATTAGTAAATTGATCGGACTGTAAATTACATTCAATAGCTTATAAATGAAAATAAAGGAAAACATATTTAGTAGATGAATATATTTAACGTTTAAATAAAATAAAAGTATTTAGAAAATGTCAGTTGTAAAGAGTTAGATGATAGAAATTATTGACTTTTTTAAAATTCATTCGATGCAGTGTAGAAGTTAAAAAAATCAAAAACCCAATATAATGTAATGTATTAATGTGTAAGGCAAAGATGCTGTCCGGATACGAATAAAAAAGTCTAAATCGTAACTGAAAAGAACTAACTTTTTCATTTTATTATATAAATTACTTTATCGAAAATTAAAAAAAAAATAAGTTTTGCATATAAAACAGTTATTATAAGTAATAGAAATTAAAGTTGTTTTATTACCCAAAAATTGCTTTTAACACTTAAATTATTGGGATTCATTTCAAAAATTTCACTTTACATGATTTTAATTTTTGTTTGGCATGTTTTTATTCTTGATAATATCAGATAACTTAAAAACTAAGTTCTTAATATCTTTAAAAAAACCAGTAACGAGTTGTATAATTTCCTGACTGTTAAGAGATTTTATTTAAAAAATAACTTTTATGTTATTAATCATACTATTGTGTTAATATTGATAACAGATGGCGTCATACACAATTTATTTATGGGATTGTATCATAAAACTTTTGACATTATCTATATATATAAAATTGCTTGTCCTGACTGATTGACTGACTGAATGACTCACTGACTGATTCATCATCGCTCAGAGCAAACCGCTTGACCTAAAGAGGTGAAATTTGGTACACAGTAAGGGTATGTCATGGAAACGTACACTAAGAATGGATTTTTCGAAATTCCCCCGCGGGGAGGGGGAGGAAGAGCATTAAGGATTAACCGGAAAAACAGCTTCTACTGTACTATTTTAGATGCAATTTTTTTGTTTTTATCTGACTTTTAGTAGGGTATGCAATGGCAATGCACACTAAGAAGAGCCTTTTCGAAATTCCTTCGCGGGGGGAGAGGAAGAGCATTAGGGCTTAACCGGAAGAACGGCTTCTACTGTACTTTTTTAGATGCGAGTGTTTGTTTTTATCTGACTTTTAGTAGGGTATGCAATGGCAATGCACAATAAGAAGGGCTTTTTCAAAATTCCCTCGCGGGGGGAGAGGAAGAGGATTTAGTCTTCATCGAGTACTTAGGTGTATTAAATTAATAACATTTCAGACATTGTTATAAATATTTTTATATATTTCGATTTTTCATCCAAATGTTCGAACCGTTTTAAATTCGAATTAGTTATTGCATATTGATTCGATTATAGAACAATTGTAAACGTTCCAGAAAATTGATCAAATTGAAAATAGTTTGTTTGATTCTCAGCAATTCTCATCATTCTCGGCGGTATGTGTTATATAACAATTACTATGGTTGTTAAAATACTGAATATAAATGGGGTTTGCTTGCAAACCTCCGCGGGCGAAGTCGCGGGTAACAGCTAGTATCCATATATAAATGGACGTGTTTGTGCCTATATTTCACTCTGCAGCCAAAACTACACATCGCACATGAATGGTGTTTGTGTGCGGTAGTAGCCCCAAGTCTCCCATCGTGCACTATGGTGGTTGTGTCTCGATAGCTATAAGAGTGTTGGAGATCTGGGGGTTGAAAGTGGTTGACTTCGAAAATATGTAACAATGGACAATGGAAGTGTTAAGATTGGAAGTGTTGAGTAACAAAGGAAGTGTTAAGAGAAAGCGGTGTGCAAGATTTACAGGCGCAGATGCGGTTTTCTACGTTTTTGCAGGAAATCAAACATATTTTTAGACCGTTGTAAAAATTCTCTAATTAGTCTAGAAACAGGGGATCTAATTCTTGCATTCTGTAAAAACGGGTAAGATTGGCTATAATGTAATCTTTATAGTCGAATAGAAAAAAATGTTTTGGAATACTCGAGGATCGTTATGTGTGAGTAGTGGGGACGGCTTTTAGAGACCTGTGACGCACACGCTCAGTTAATTTTTCATAAGTAAAAGTGTACGAATAACAGAAAAAAGTAGAAAGTGAATAGTGAAGTGTGAAAAGTAAAAATGTAAAAAACAATGCTAAAGCGTAAGAAAGAATTTTTGCGGTCTCGAATCATATCTCAAAGGCAAAAGATTACGCGGAGAAATGAAACCACGGAAGAAAGAGAAGTACCTCTAACATTGCTACGAGAAAATTATCAACGAAACAGAAATAATCAGACAGAAGAGCAACTTGAAAATTATAGGGAAACACATCGAATCAGAGAAAGATTACGTAGAGGAAGAGAAACAGTCTTTTATATATGAAAAAAACTATATTACATATAAATCACGAACAAATAAAAACCCAGCGAAGCGGTTACTTGCAGCTAGTTAATTATAAAATGGCAGAACGCTTAATTTTGAGAATAGAAATGAGTTTTATAAAAAAAATTGTAAATGATGATAACGAGTAAAATCTTCATTAAGTCTGGCTTCTTTTGAGGTACGATATGAACCCCCCGCTATCTCTTCACTCTCTTGACCTTTAACCACCAATATATATCAACAATACTTCTTATATACAAGCTACAATATCAAATCTCGTTCTTTTATAACTACCGCATCCTGAAATATTAAACGAAATAGATGTCAACGTACACACGGAATTTTTCTGTTTTTCGATTTTTTTAGTTCAGCAGGTCTCAAAACTTGGAGGTTTGCAAAATATTCGGAGGGTCAAATTTGACATGATTTCAATGCTATCTTAAATCACTTTAATCCTGTTTATCAGGCTACCTATTTCTGTTAATCAACCTGATTAATTAACAGATTAACATATACCAGAGAACATATTAATTAACCTGATTAATATGTTCTCCCATATGTTGCTGTTAGGAATAATCAACCTGATTAACAGGATTAAAGTAATTAAACATAGTAATAATAATACAGCACCCCAACAAATAAGATGATTCCAATGGTTTCTCTTGTTATGTATTCGTAACAGTTGGAAAATATAAGGAAACTTTATAGTCCTATCTCAATCCAGCCTGGACTGTGACATGAACTGACTTTTTACAAGAATATTCAGGAGAACAGTCGGATTGTTGTTGGCATTCGGCATTAATCTAAATTTTGTATTAGCGATTAATTTTTTTCACTAAAAGAAAATTTACCTCTACTATGACAACGGCCAAAACGATCAAGGTAATAAATCATTTCATGTTGATCTGTGAGAATTAAACACAAAAATATTATATTAACTCTTCCATCTTTATTTAAACAAAAACTTAATGGGATTTAGCAGATGGCCCATTATCTGGTACATTTTATTCTTCTATCAATGTAAGATGTGTTATATTAATTATGCCGTTTTATAAATCTTACGTAGGAAATAACATTATTTATTTTAAAATTATTTTAATTTATTATGAAAAGTTAAATAAGGTGGGCAAATGTTACATAAACAGTTTTTATCTGCAAAATGAAAATGCTACAACATACGAAAAAATACTATCGGCATGACATATTAAGGTTTTTACTCTTTGATTCTTTGATTAGAGTATTAATCACTGTTTTCATTACAGTTTATAAGGTTTAAATATCTGTTTATTTGCGTCTTTAGCAATAAAAATACTGTATATTAAAAACTAAAATTTTGCTATATAATTTTAGCAGTGAGCCAGCAAATTAGAGTGAAAAAGCTAATTAACTTAGAACATTAAGAAAGGTTGTTACTAAGAGATAAAGTGGAAAAAGTGTCGATGACCAGAGTTCTGAATATGGCTAAATCAAGATCATTAGGATTTTAAAAAACAAGGAAGAAGTAAATAGTGCACAAATTGAAAGGATATTTTAATATTTTTTTAGGGAAAATTTTATTTTTTTCTAGGTGGTATTTATACTTTTCACGTATGTTTGATTTTTGTGTTTTTACTGTACAGTATTGCGGAAAATTTGTTCATACTTACATTAGGGTATTATATGAAAATTATTCATAGATTTCTTATTTGTGAACATATTAATTACTCGCTAAACATATATTGTCAGCATAGTAGAATAGTGATTACTAAATGAAAGACAACATAAAGAGTATTTTAACCAAATTTATTTTCCAGTAAATTCATTACATAATGTAATTACCTATAAACAGTTTTTAATTACATTGTCCTTCCCAGATACCGGCCTGTAAATGAAAATAAATAAATATAAAATTACATATACAATAACATTTAAAATAATTAATTTACAATATATTTATTACACTTCAAAGTAGGCCTATGTCTTTAAATCCTAACTATAACTAGAGTATATGTATTGTTATGACTAAAAACAAAATACTTATATATACGAAAAATCTAAAATCTTGAGGAAAAATAAATAAACACTTACTGCAAATTGTGTGCAACTAAGTCCTTCTTCACAAGGACATCTGAACCTGTAAATCCCGCCGATCACATTATCTCTCACATTGCATGTTTCTCCTGAAAATTGCAAATTTTAAACATTTTTCATCACAATTAATATAAATTTTTTAATTTCTTACCTTGTTTTAGCATAGGAAAACATTTTGGATCAGTATAACCACTGGCTTGTTTACAACAATATCCAGCAGGACAGTCGGATTGTTGTTGGCATCCGGCGTTAATCTAAATTTGAGAAAAATAATAAAAATTTAAAATTAACTTTCATCGATTAATTGTTAACGGAAACTTACCTCTGCTATGGCAACGGCCAAAACGATCAACGCAATAAAGTATTTCATGTTGATCTGTGAGAGTTAAACACAAAACTGTTATGATATCAACTCTTCCATCCTTATTTAAACAAAAATTTAATGGGATTCAGCAGATGGGCCATTATCTGAACTCATTTTAATTTCTTTATCATTGCAACATATGGAATTCTAATTAGTTTACAAGTAATACCGTATATAAAATTATATTATTTATTCAGAAATTATTGTTGATGTTATATAAACGTAGAACATATGTTACATAAAATTAGACGTATCTAATCATAAAACATATTTTCTTTCTCTTGCTTATCATAGCCCAGTGTAAACCATTGAGACTTCTATTGACAGGAATATTTATTATAATATTATTCAGTTTATCGAAAAATTAACAGCAACTTAAAAAATTTAGTAATTTCATTAAAAATGACAATTTAAGTAGTCGGGAAATGAATTATATTGAAATATTAAGCAAATCAGAAAATCTCTCTTAGTATTGAAACTAACACAGATTTCGAGCAGCTAATAGAACCTCCAAGCTTATAGACTCAAATTTAAATTTGGCATATGTAAAATGTTTATGTTATTTTCTCCAAGGTTTTGATGAGTTTAACAGACTTTTGCAACTTGCTAAACTATCAGATTTCGAAACAAATGAATCGAAGATTTAAGCTTAGCAACCTGAATAAGTTCTGTGCACTTTGAAACTGTATTGCTAGATAGTTCTCGAATAGTACAAAATATCACAGTCTTACACATTAGATAAATAGTCTTCTTGCGAGAAGAAAAATGTTTTTTAATAAAAAAAAATACTCGTTGATTTCTTCTGAATGAGAAGATAATCTAAGACAAATTCTTTCTAATTTTAACTGTAACGTGCTTACACTGCACTGTAACGTGCTTGCACTGTAACGTGCGTTCTTGGTTCAGTTCTATTTGGATAATCTATTATGAATCTTTTTGTTGTATCCGTGGCTTAATTATATAGAGTTTATCAAAACTCGTGGGACAAACACAATTAGTGATAGAACACAATTAGCCAAGTACAAATCACTCTACAATGCTTACTGGTAACTCAAGCAGTGAAGTGCTAACGGGCTTGTTGTGTCATAAAATAAAGATAAACAAGAACGGCAGAGGAATGAAAAACATCGATGAATTTAAGGAAAATGTTTTTTTCAACAACTTTATTTTTTACAGCAACTGCTCAAAAAAGGAGATCCCTTCGCAGAGTTACTGGTGCAATCTGTCGGTAGCAGAAGATCGCATCCAAAATGCCTCGTTTTGCACTCCTTTCAAAATTTGGATCATCGCTACAATTTTATCAACGATTTCGGTTTTCTTTACCAAACTTTTTCTGAGTAAATCTGTTGAGAAATTCTTTGGGTTTTTCGTTTTCAGAAGTTCTATTTTCCAGTTCTACACGAATTCTTTGTTCTACTAGTTCGTCGTTGGTAATGCTCTGACCAGAAACCTGCAATAACTTCTCAATATCCTGCACGTCTACATCTCCTAGTCCTGATGTATAGATTAGGTTGACAATCTGGTCAACCTAACGATACAGCGATAAGCTCTTCTCGTTGAGAATTCTTGGATACCTTTAGCCATAACTTCTTCCACACTTCGTTCATGCATTTATGAGTTAATTGTTTCCAAGCAAAGACGATATTGCCTATGGCATCCACGATGTTATATTTTTTCCAAAATTGCATCAAACAAACATAGATTTAAGGGAAGTACAGCGCTACCACGAATTTCCACTTTTTGCTGATTGGTTCGTGTTCGTAATGGTATTACAGTATATACCAAGGGTGTCCAACCTTTTTGTTTTTCTGGGCCGCATTTGGAAGAAGTCAAGGAGTTTTGGGCCACAAGTATATATAATATATACTCGTGGTCCAATATACAAGTATATTTAAAAATTAACATGTCTAGATTATAATAATAAGTACTGTATTAAAACTTTATGAAGAAAAAAGGATATTTTAAAAAACTACTTCTACAGACACTTTCAATTTTTACTTAGAAATAGATAAAGTCATTTATTATAAAAGAGACTANTAAAATCTCGAGAAAAAAAATAAACACTTACTGCAAATTGTGTGCAACCAAGTCCTTCTTCACAAGGACATCTAAACTGATAAATACCGTATATAATATTATCTTTAACACTGCATTTCTCTCCTGGAAATTTCAAATTTTAAACGTTTTGTATAATTAACAGAAATATTGATTTATTACCTTTTTTCAGCATAGGGAAGCAGTTTGGATCAGTATAAGAAGTGACTTTTTTACAACAATATCCAGCAGGACAGTCGGATTGTTGTTGGCATCCGGCGTTAATCTAAATTTGAGAAAAATAATAAAAATTTAAAATTAACTTTCATCGATTAATTGTTAACGGAAACTTACCTCTGCTATGGCAACGGCCAAAACGATCAACGCAATAAAGTATTTCATGTTGATCTGTGAGAGTTAAACACAAAACTGTTATGATATCAACTCTTCCATCCTTATTTAAACAAAAATTTAATGGGATTCAGCAGATGGGCCATTATCTGAACTCATTTTAATTTCTTTATCATTGCAACATATGGAATTCTAATTAGTTTACAAGTAATACCGTATATAAAATTATATTATTTATTCAGAAATTATTGTTGATGTTATATAAACGTAGAACATATGTTACATAAAATTAGACGTATCTAATAATGAAACATATTTTTTTTCTGTTGTTTATCATAGCCCAGTGTGAACCATCGAGCCTTCTATTGACAGGAATATTTACAGTATTATAATATTATTCAGTTTATCGAAAAATTAACAGCAACTTAAAAAATTTAGTAATTTCATTAAAAATGACAATTTAAGTAGTCGGGAAATGAATTATATTGAAATATTAAGCAAATCAGAAAATCTCTCTTAGTATCGAAACTAACACAGATTTCGAGCAGCTAATAGAACTTCCAAGCTTATAGACTCAAATTTAAATTTGGCATATGTAAAATGTTTGTGTTATTTTCTCCAAGGTTTAGATGAGTTTAACAGACTTGCAGCTAGCTAATCTATCTGATATCAAAACAAATGAATCGAAGATTTAAGCTTAGCATCCTTAATATGTTCTGTGCACTTTGAGACTGTATTGCTAGATAGTTCTCGAATAGTACAAAATATCAGTCTTACACATTAGATAAATGGTCTTCTTGCGAGAAGAAAAATGTTTTTCAATAAAAAAATACTCGTTGATTTCTTCTGAATGAGAAGATAATCTAAGACAAATTCTTTCTAATTTTAACTGTAACGTGTTTACCGTTTTTGGTTCAGTTCTGTTTAGATAATCTATTATGGATCTTTTTGTTGTATCTGTGGCTTAATTATACAGGGTTTATCAAAACTCATGGGACAAACGTAGGGAGTGATAGAACACAACTAGCCAAGCACAAATCACTCTACGATGCATACTGGTAACTCAAGCAGTGAACTGCTAGAGGGCTTGTTGTGTCATAAAATTAAGATCAACAAGAACGGCAGAGGAATGAACAAATACCGATGAATTTGAGGAATATGTTTTATTCAACAACTGTATTTTATTACAACTGCTCAAAAAAAGGAGTCCTTTTTGCAGAGTTGCTGGTGCAATCGTTGGAAATTTCTCGGATCTGGCACTCGTCTTGTCGGAAAGCGCTCTGGGTACAATCTTAGGAGTTCCCTTGCATTTCTGTTTGCAGCCCCGTACATGTGATGCATGTTCGCCCTTTCCTAATTCGTGTACGCGTCCATATCGTTGGTAGTCCACAACATAAATGACGACTAGAGGAGGGCATTTCCGGTCGGAACCGTTCCAAAGAAACTGTTTCGGACTCGGAACTACAAGGAACAGTTCCACATCGAGTGTTGAGACAGTTCCGGTCGGAACTATCAAGGCGTTCTTCATTCTGTACTTTTACTAATACGATTTTCCATGGAATGACAAATACTTTATCCGGATTTGAACTCGAACAAATGAAATTGTTCCGCGGGTTTTTAGGAATAGTCAAATTAGTTTAGAGTATTTTAAATTTACAAAGATATTTACAAAATTTATATTTTTATTAGAGTTCGTAATTATTTGCTTTATTAATAACCAACAGAATTTTGCTACATCCTGTTTAGAGTTAGCGATATAAAAATACTTGATTTTCTAACAATGGAAAAAACAAAACAAAAAAAATTACCTGATAATATTCTAAATCAGTTTTGATTCTTTTAGATCTAAAATTTTATTTAATTACATTTTAGTGAAATGACAATTTAATTATATATCTTAAAACATTTCGTTTCAATTATCATCTTATTTATATTATTTCTTTTTGGAAATACTAGTTTGCTTTATGAAAAATGTGAGATAGACTAATATGAAGGTCAATAGCAGGATTACTTATTTAGAACAATTTTTATTCAAGTAAACTAATACTGTACATCATGTATTAGGTAGCTTCGTTTCCTGCCCACGAGAATTCACTGTAAGCAAGCTCTGTTCGCTTCATTTGCTCTCCCCAGGTTTTGACTAATTGATTCCAATATAGACTTTTCATGACGGAAATTTCAATAATATGTAAATCTTTATCTTCATCCTCTCTCTGGCCATGTTTCAATATACAGTATATAGAAACGATAGAATCAGGAATCGATATATCAAAATCAGAATATATTAGTGATGCAACGAATAGTATATTCTGCCTCAGGCCGAATAGCCGAATATTCGGCCAAGCTATTCGGCTTGATTAACGCACGTACGAAAATTGACGCGAAAACCGCATTATGGCAAGGATCGCGCATCCTGCTCTCTATTGGCCCGCTGTCACTACGCTTCGCCAATCGCGTTAATTCTTGACAGTTGTAGCGGACAGACATGGGCGTCATGGCAGTATGTGATAAATGATGATATCAAATGTGGATAACAATGAAATGACCTACACGTGTAAATAACGGAAAAAGAACAGAGAAGGACCGCGAAGTGAAAATGTGAAAATAAATATAAAATTGAGTTGATAACAATCGAACAAGTCGAGGCAGCTTATTGGTGAGAAATTTGTGGCCGTCAATGCCAAATAATTGTTCTCATAGACTTCGGAAAGCTAAATGCTTGTAATGAAAGTCACTTAGCGTGCACGGGTGAAAGCCTGGGACCGTTCAGGCTACCAGCTGTCGGGAATTTAAGTTATGATAAATAATTTTGTACAATGAAACGAAAAAGTTAATTTAATTTTCAAGTTTACAATAAGGGATGATTTCATAAAAACGCTTTACAGATCATTAATTGTTATTATTTTCACATTTTACGACCTAAGTTTCGATCTAATGTGCCCACGCAGTAAAAATGTTCAAACAAATTTTTTACCCTTTTTCACCCCTTCAGGGTTGAATTTCGTATAATCTTTTCTTAGCACACCTAAAATTTACAAAAGGAACATACCCTCAACCCTCAAATTTTTGTTTCTAGCACCAGTAGTTTTGGCTCTGCGTTAATTATCCTATCAGGACTTGTTCTTTTATATACGAGTATATGGACGACTAAACTACATAATAAGTAGGTAGTTTCATTTGATCTGTTACCTTTTCTGATCTCTTAATAAAATAACTTACTTTTCCTTTGATCTTTTACATAAATAACCAAAAAATTGCGCTTTCTCGAACTTGAAATGTATGCTCATCATTAATAAAAGTTACCAAAATGATTGATTTACTGTGTTTTTGTTATTTCTTACTCCTGTTTTTAGGTATTCGGTATTCCGCCGAATAGTGATTACATAGTCGGTATTCGGCCGAATAGCGAAACAGGCCGAATAGGCCGAATACCGAATAGTAACCGAATATTCGTTGCATCACTGGAATATATACAGAGTGGGGCAGAAAGTACGGGCGTTTTTTAAACGATCACAACATCTTTTATTACTACTAAAGATATTTGTTAGATGTGAGTTCGTATTGAAATAGCATTTTACGGAATCAAGTATGGAAAACAACATCTCCTATGTGGTGTCTGTTATCAGTGATGCACTTCTGAAGGCGATTTTGGCGACTTCCATGCGAATAGTGTTTTTTAGTTCTTGGAAAGAACGGACTAATGCTCATATGCACGTGTCTTGAGGGGTCCCTACAATAAATAATTGTACATGAATAGGTCGGGCGAACGAGGAGCAGCTTTGCCATTCGTACATTTGTACTTTTCAGGTACATTTTGCCCTTTCGAGTATATTGAAAGTACACTTAGATATTTAGTACATTTTGAGTACATTATAATATTTAAGTACCATTTTTGGTACAAAATAATATTTCATGCCTTCACGAAAAAATGCAAAAAATTAGTTTAATAAAATCTCACTAGTGTCACTGCTTGCTAATTTGATTTACCCTATCACAACATACACATAGTGTATGTCAGTCGACATTAACAACATGCAGATAATTGCAGGTGCAAATGTTATGACTCAGTGGTCCTCTTTCACACGTGTCACATTCTCACGAGAACCTTGACAAAATTTTTCACGCCACGTGGTCGAAACAATTCAACTCTGTCAAACAAAAATATTGGACAGATAAGGGAATCAATGATTTTAAACTTTTGTCATCAATAATATTAAAATATCCGTTAAGTCAGAGTCTAATTATTACACAGAATAGTTTTGAAATTGTACAGTACAAATAATATAAATACTTTTATATTATTTTCTACCACTATAATTTAATTCTTAATTACGAACTTTAATTTTAGTAATCTTGGTAAAAGAAATAACTTTTTTTAATTTGAATCTGTCCACGCATATTTAATTTATAATTTTTTTATCCATTACTATAATATTTAAAAAAATCAACTTTTAATGCTGTATTTAACAAAAAACCATAGAAACTATTTTCATAAAATCTTTTTATGAAATATTTAATTTTAAAGTATTCATATTTAACAAAGTATTCATGAATATGAATTTGAAATAAGCACAAAAATTGAGTGTGATGGTATATTAATATTAAAAGTAACCAACCATAGAAATAGTACATTTTGAAGGAGCTTCAGTATGTTTTGAAATTTCATTGCGGCAACTCTGACGAGGAGTCCAATGAATGTCACCGAACCTGGAAATGAGGCAACCAGGAAAGACACAACGAATAACTATAATTTTCTCTTATAAAACCGGTGTTGTCCGAGTTTATAAGAGAGAAATATAAAACATAATTATTAATTTTACGAAAATACTGTTCAAACAAAAAAATATCCGAGACCTTAGATGTAACAACTTGACATCAATAGCAAGAAATAAAATAAAATAAAATTAAATAAATAAATGCAGTAACGAGTTGCTTAACTTTCCCGGAAACATTTAAAATTTTGTTGGCGCCATCTGTTATGATATTTTATTAAAAACTTTATATATTTTCAATTATTATAAAATGGCAAAAAGCTTAATTTTGAGGGTAATGGGTTTATAATGGGTTTTATAAAAAATTAGCAATGCGATAATAACGAGTAAAATTTTTTGACTCAATTCAAAATAAATCTATAAATACCTTTTTGGTTGCTGAGATTCGCTTTAATTAGCAAACGTTTTAACCTCAGTCTAATAGGTTAAAAACGTTTTCACCTAAGTCTAATAGGTTGAAAACGTTTTCACTCAATGCTCACACATGCTTCGTGCTACCAGTTGCAGTAATTAAGTGAATATAATATTTGATTTTTAAACTATATTCTTTTTTAATACTATTTAGTTTGTTATTCCTTTAAAAATTATTACTATATTTTATGTTAGAAATGCATACAGCTGGCGCTACTTCTGAAGGCAGGAGTCAGATGTAGGCAGAAATTAATTAATGTATAGAAATTAAATCAATATTTGGAGATGATATTATGATATTATCTAAATTAGGTTTATGATAACGAAACTGTCGAGTTTCAGAGCAATTGGTTAAATGGCCTAGGAGTGCATAGCGAACGAAAAACAAACATCGTCTTTTATGTAGTTATATCGATTTCGTGACGATTTTAAGCTAAGTATTATAAATTTGATAGGTAATGAGTAGTTGTATTCTAGATCAGTAATTTTCAAAAGCCAGTCCATAAAAATATTTCATTTGTCCCCAGGAAAAAATTTGACTATTAATTAACGACGTCAGCACAAGTGAAATTTAAATGGTAATCAAAATTAACTCTATATAAGGATTTATTAGCATAATAAATAAGCATAATTTATAATCGCATATAATTACTAGTCCACGATGAGAAAAAGGCTCAGAAACACTGTTCTAGATTATCCACGTACTGTACTTTACTTCAACTAGGTCAGCGGTTCTCAACCTTTATTGACTTGCCTAACTCTTGTTAACCCATTTTCATAAGTTTTATTTTTCGTGTTCGTCAAACAGTCTTAGATTATTATACAGTACTGTAAAATTACATATATTTTTATTTAAACTAAGAATCGAGTGCCGTACCGTCGCCAGAGGCCTCAACGGAGAGTCCGAATATTCTTATAGTGCAATCGCTATTATTAATTTTTTTCGGGTACCCCATGTTGAGAATCGCATACTCTATTGAGTAAACTTTATGCTTAAAATAAAAAGTAATGATAAAATAAATTTGGAAGAGTGATTAAATTCTCATTTCTTACACGTTATTATAGCGAAAATATTTTCTCTTTATTCTAATCTTTATGATTTTTTTAGATATTTTTTGTTTAACAATATAGAGGAGGAGTCGCCAACTCAAATGCAGCAAAGAGCCAGTCAAATAGATGTATATCAGACGCAGGTCGAATTCAATATTATTCGGTAAACTGAAACATACTGTAATTGAAAAAAGGCTGTAGCAAATGTCCGTTTGTTACTTTAACGACTTTGTAAACAGTTAAACGTTTGAATTTCTTCTGTATCTTGTTCTCGCAATATGTTAGAAACATTGATCTTTAGAAAATAAATCATCAAAGCCGCGGGCCGGATATGAAGCTTTAACGGACCGTATCCGGACCGTACTCTACGCAAGGATCGCTGTGTAGAGTAGTGATAATCACTGAATATAAGACAATGTCAAGGTTATTTTCACAGAATTTATTTACCAGAAACTTCAATACAAATTGCAATGTTTGAAACGAATCTGAAGAACTTTTCAATTACACTGTCCTTCCCAGATACCTTCCTATAAATATTAAATCAATAAAAAACAGATTTACAATGAATTTTGACGTAATAAATTAATAACATATACTAATCTAAATTTATTGCGTATGCATATATATGTTTTAAATTATAATCGTATAAAGACTATATAAATATCATCTGTACTACTTTATACATGTACTATGATAACAAAATCCGCTTATAACCTTAAACTATCACTAAAATCTTTAAACAATAAATGAAATCTTACAGCAAATTGTGTGCAACTAAGTCCTTCTTCACAAGGACATCTGAACTGGTAAATATCGTACTTCATATTATCTCTCACGCTGCATTTTTCTCCTGAAAATTGCAAATTTTAAACATTTGTCTTCACAATTAATAGAAATTTTCTAATTTCTTACCTTGTTTCAGCATAGGGAAACATTTTGGATCAGTATAAGAATTCACTTGTTTACAACAATATCCAGCAGGACAGTCGGATTGTTGTAGGCAGTCGGCATTAATCTAAATTTGAGAAAAATAAAATTTATAATTAACTTTCATTAATTAATTTGAATTGTTAACAAAAACTTACCTCTGCTATAGCAATTGCCAAAACGACCAACGCAATAAAGTATTTCATATTGATCTGTGAGAATTAAATACAAAACTGTTATGATATCAACTCTTCCGTCCTTATTTAAACAAATATTCAATGGGATTTAGCAGATGGGTCATTATCTGAACTCATTTTAATTTCTTTATCATTGCAACATATGGAATGCTAATTAGTTTACACGTAATACCGTATATAAAATTATATTATTTATTCAGCAATTATTGTTGATGTTATATAAAAGTAGAACATATGTTACTTAAAATTAAACGATAAAATAATTATTATCATATCTGATTAGATTTCATTTTCATTTGAGTAAAACATAATAATCTACTGGGCTTTATGTAATGATCATAGATAATATAAATTATCTTTCAAAAGTTAAAAAATTGTATTATAATAAAATGAAATTTTTACAAAACTTTTAATTGATTTTATGGTAATGCGTATTATCAATAATGATTAAACCATGAGTATGTATTACAAGACTTTTTATTTTACTAATTATTTTGAAACATTTATAAATTTATGTAGCAAATGTTACGGTTTCAACGAGCAAAAATTATTGACAGCTTCACAATGCAGGCTGCAATTTTAAACCATATTTTTAATTTATTTAATTTTAAAATATATGCTCTCCACCTCAAATTAGTACTGTAGTGTCTTGCCCTGTATATCATACTTTTATAATAGCGTAGTAAATTGAAGTTCAATATTTTATACAAAAATTCAATTTTGATATAATAATACGCATTTTATTGCGAAGGAAATTTAGTGAATAAGATAGAAAATAGTAACTTAATAATAAAAAATAAATTCCATATTTTTCAATTTTCAAATATTTCAAGTATTAAATTTGGAAGGGGGAGTTATGCTTGATTGAAAGTACCTTTCCAAAGTGGTCAATAAACTAGAAATGCTTAACACAGAATATAATCTTCTAAAAATTGAATAAGTACCGGAGGGCATCGATAATAATGACCACCTTCGGTAGCACACAGGAAATTATTACATAACAGCCAGCATAGTACGTTTACCTCTACGTAAAAAAAGTTTATTCTGAAATATAAAACATATTGAATTACTTGAACTATACTTTATTTGATTAAATCCAATTTTAATATATTTTTAATCATTATAAAATCTTTATAAAGAATTTTTTTTCTATTCTTAAAGTGTTTATATTTGCTGATACTTGTTTAATATACTATACACCGTTTTTATTGTCGCCATTAAAATTATTAAAATTTTAATATTGCTAATAATTTAATAGACTTATTTTAAATCTTGTATTTTATTACTTCCGGAATAAACGTCTTAAATTAACGATTTATTAAAGTAACCAATAATTTCATCCAAACATAATATACAATATTTAAAAATAGTGAATAAATTTCTAAAAATTGCCCTTTAGCTATCAAGGAGGTTCACAGAACTCTTCACGTTTTTATGGCAGAATCAATTGAAACACGAAATTATATTTTTCTGTAATTTTTTAAAACTTTTTTAAAACATGATATTATATTTCTCTGTAAAATATACTAACAAAAAAAAAATAATAAGTTCGGGGTATAAAATGACTTTCTTAGTGAAATCGAAATGACCTTTCATTTCGATTTGGAGTTACACAAGGAATATAATTGATAATTACGACAAACAATTATACATTCCGATAAGACTATGTTTCGGATAATTAATATAACCGTTTTGGGGATTTGTTATCGAATCGGAGAAACCACAGGAATTTTTAGGGGGATGATAGTCCGTTTGGATCTGTCAGGTTACGTCTCTCATCACCCAGCTGCCCGTTGTGAGCCTATTTTGTTTCAAAAAATGCCTTCAAAAAAAGGAAAGAGTTTTTAAAAATAATAACTAATTAATTAGATATCACTTTTAATGAAGTTATTAGAATTTAACAGGTAAAGTTCATTGATATCATACAAATTACATTTTTAAAAAATACATAAATGTGGAAGATTTTATCCTGAACTGAGTTTTCGTCTCGTCAAAGTTGACAATGTTCGATTCTGTATTGTTTATTTTTTTTAATATATATTTTTAACTAATGAATGAATTAATATATTTCAAAACTTAAAGGTTTTCGACCTTTCTGAAAATTTTCTTTCTGTGTAAAATTAGAACACGACAAATTTGGTCTATTCATTTCAACTTAGACCAATGATATTTTTAATTTTATTTTTAAATTAATATTTTAGCTATCCGCCATTTTTACCGAAGAATATAAATTGAAAAATTTTTTAGTTTTTCTATATTATTTACTTATAATCGAGTCATGGTAGAGTCGTATTTGGAAAAGTCCCAAACTGATCACACTTTTTTATTATTTCTAGCCTTGATATTCTTATTAATCTGTGCAATTTATGCATTAATTTTTCGTAAATATATAGCATTAGCATTGTCTAAATGGAAGAAAGTTTTACTGTCTCACTATAAAGGCTTACTTCTTATAATTTCTAAAAACCCTGATAAAGATAAAGGTAAGCTTTTTATTGTTTATAGAAAGAAATCTCACAATTAACAAGAATCCTACTTTCTTCGTGGATAAGTTATGACATTAACATATCGAATAATTCAGTTCTTCAATATAGTGACTCAATTGTCTGCTATGTCAAAAAACTTCACGCAGTATAATGTAAATTATTTGCAGCCTTAATATCAAATAGAATTAATTTTTTCTTAATTTAATCATTTATTGAGGTAAGTAAGGCAAATAATATCTAATTATGTTTAATAATTTCATCTAAGTATTTTTTAGTATTTATGAAAAACTGTTTCGACGCTATTGTAATGGTGGATTTGCTACTAGAATTATAGGCCTAAGAAAAGTCTACTTGATATTTAATCCTAAAAGTGCTCAGGTATTTATTATACTTGTTTTTTAACTATTTTATATATGTAAAAAGTAATATTTTGGTATGCAAATAGGTAATACTTGAACATAGTAAAAATATTAACAAAGCAGATTTGTACAAATGTTTTGTTCCTTGGTTGGGAGATTCGCTCTTTCTCAGGTATTTAAGTCCTTAAAATTTCAAAAATTATTTTAAAATTAAATGTATTAGCAATTCTTTCGTTTTTAAGTTCTGGAGAAAAATGGAAGAAAAGAAGGAAATTATTGATGCCAGCGTTTCATTTCTGTATTTTGGAAAACTTTTTGCCGGTTATGGACGAACAATCCCGGATTATGGTAGACAAACTGATGGAGCTCAAAGATAAAGAATGGATAGATTTCACTCCATTAATGGCTCGCTGTGCTTTAGATATCATATGTGGTATGAAAAATATTAATTAAGTAGCCATTATGTATTTAATATTATATTTTATATATAGCCAGAGCGTTTTTAGCATTTTGTTGCCTGTACGAATATAAAATTCTTCGCTTTTTTGTAAAAAGGAGGTTTATGGTAATGCGTATTATCAATAATGATTAAACCATGAGTATGTATTACAAGACTTTTTATTTTACTAATTATTTTGAAACATTTATAAATTTATGTAGCAAATGTTACNTGTATTTTAATTTTTGAATATTTATTGACATTAATTTTTTTATAATAAAAATAATTAAGTTACTTTCATTTAGAAAGCATTTTATTCCGAACGAGCAGTTATTTATTGTGACATCTTCATAATGCCGGGCTGCAATTTTTCGTCACAATGCATTTAAGTTTAGTAGTGTCTTAAATCCTGTACATCATACTTTTCCTGTTAACAGTGGGAATTTACAGGTCTACAATTTTTTAAATTGCAGCCCAAACCCTTGTTGTTACATAATGATATTGCTTTTACAGAAGATCATGTAATTAGTCAACTGTAAAAATTTTCAATCGTAGGCAGATTCCTACTTCACCTATGCATAAAAACGTCTCTGTTCTGTATATAGCTAACTTTTATATTGAAAAGGTAACATTTATAGAAAAAATAAAATTATTAATTTAATACTTTGTTTTATGATTTATAAAAATCAGAAACAGCTATGGGAATCCAGATGAATGTGCAAAATCAAGGGAGTTTAGAGTACGTAGACGCTCTCGACTTGTAAGTGTGATTATATAAAGGTCCCTGGTAAAGTCTTTTTCTAATTAAGATGTTCTGTTTAAATATATATAAGAGGAATTGGATTAATATTTAATTATTTTTAGCGTCAGAGAGATAATTACAAAGAGAATATTTGAAAGAGCTGTCATTCCCAATTTTCTATTTTATGTGAGTGCTGAAGGAAGAAAATTCAAAAAATGTATAAAAATAATGAATAGTTTTACTATGCGAGTAAGAAAAGAAGCAAATTAAAAATAATATTTAATTTTTAAATTTTAATTATTATTATATTATTTTTTTATCCATTTTATCGCAGGTGATAGAAGCAAGGAAAAAAATTTTAGAAAATAAAAAGAACGAGAAGAAAATCTCAAAGGAAGATCAATACTTGAATATAAAACAAAGAAAACCTTTCTTGGACACTGTTCTGGATTGCTATTTTAAAGATCCTTTTTTCACTTTGGAAGATGTGAAGGAAGAAGTCGACATATTTATGTTTGCTGTAAGTACTGTATTTCGTTTCACATAAAACGTATAAGTTCCATAACTTCTGATATATTACTTTAAAGGGGCACGATACGACAACTTACGGTTTGATCTGGATATGCTATTTGTTGGGAAATAATCAACATGTTCAACAGAAACTGATAAAAGAAGTTGATGAGGTATTTGGAGGTGATATCGAGAGAAATATAACTCACGATGACATTAAAAAAATGAAATACATGGAATGTGTTATTAAAGTAAATATTTAAAAAATTTTTATTAATAATTTTAGTAATGATAGTTAATATTAATAGGTCAAATATTGAATACAAAGAAACAATCATTTTAATTTTAATTTTAAAATAGTTATATGAAAAGTTTGTCAGTGTGCTTTAAAGGAACCCAGCTGCTCCATTGTGAGTCTGGCCGAATCCATAAAAAGAGGCCCTCTTGGTGCCCACAGTACGGAAAGAGTTAATTAATAAATGAAAATATAAAAACATGTGCTTTAAAGTAAAACTTATTCATTGTAAATTAACAGAATAATTATTTAATAAATAATTTCGTTGTTTGTTTTAACAGTGTTTTCCCTTCCATTTTTGGCTTTTTTATGTGGGCAGTATGAGGGTCATTTTTTAAAACTTATCTATTGTGACTCTGGTCTTACCTCTTGTAGGAACAGCATTACAATGGAGTAGTTGGGTGTGTGAAATTGGGTTCGACATATCCGGATGGACCACACATGAAAAATTCTTGGTTACACGATTTACTGGAATTTGATCATTGTTTCCCCAGAAGGAAAGCTGAACCTTAAAACAATGGCCATTAATTTCTATTTAATAATTTTGAATTTTAAAGAAGCATATTTTTTGAATTAGGAGAGCTCTAGAATATACACCCCAGTGCCTATGATTGGAAGAAAATTAACGGAAAGCATCGAGATTGGTTGGTATTTCTATATATTTAATAAAATTAATCACCTTTTAAATACAGTATAAATATTAACTTTTGTTTCTTTTCGCTCTGTCAGCACAAAGAAGGCTCTTTTTATCATCATGGGTTTGGTCAGCTCCATAATAGAAGCGTCAGGTAATGAGGGAGAGAGTGGAACATATCCAGGATAGATGGCCTATTAAAAACTCGCGGATTCGATTCCGAGTCCACCTAGAGCAGTAGCGCCATACTATTTAAACTTATATCTTTTTTACTTCGTTACAAACAAAATGTGAAAAATAATAATAAAATTCTTGTGTGCTATCTTTATATACTTATCTTTAGCAAAGAAAGACTCCAAAGAAAAACTTTTACTGTCATCTAGATTGTCATAAATTTTTACTTGAAGCAATTTTTTCATCTTAAATGTCTTTATTTGGATAATTTAAAACTAATCTTAAGAACTATGAAAAATTCTAAAGTTTATGAGACAAATCATTTTTTTTACATATTTGATTTGATTAATTGAAAAACCTCTAAAATATTACAGATTTTTATAACTATTATTCCCAAATATAAAAATAACTTAAGTTAATGATTAGTTTAGTTGCTATAAAAATATTTAATATTTATCAGGGCCTTTTTAATCATGTCAAAAAAACTAATTACAAGTAATGTAGAATTTATGTAGATCTAATTTATAGATTCTTCAAGCATAAGATTAGAAAAAATTCATTCAATTAATTTGGTTTGGTTTATTTGATTATGGCAACGTGACACCTGGTTAACGCATCAAATTTCAGATTGCAAAAAGTACTACAATTTAAACAAGTTTCCAGAAAGGTAAAGTTAATATTTTTTAAAACCATCATCCGACCAATGCTGCTCTTTGGCTATGAAACATGGCACGTACATAGATTCACTGAACACAAATTGCGAGTGTTTGAAAACGAAGAATCTTTAGACCCGTGCGGAATAATAGAACTGGTACTTGGATAAAGATGCACAATGAGGAACTACATCGCAAAATGACGACTATGACATCATACAAACTATTACACTAGAAGGACAGGACAAGTAGCCTGCACCGATCCGAATCGACATGTACACAAAGTGCTGACCGGGGAGCCTCAGGGTAAACGACCTGTAGGACGCCCTTCAGTGCGATGAAAAGATGGATTGGAGACGGATCGACAGTGGGTGTACTGCCTGTCTGGATGCAAGAGGCATAAGACAGGGAAAAATGGAAGGAGAGATTGTCGCGGCGGTTAAGGGCCCAAGAGGCTCAAATAACCATTGAATAATAATAACGTCACACGCAAATGCTCCGAGACAGAATGCTCCAGAAGAACTTTTATATGAAACTGACTCCTATTTAAGATATAAGTATTTAGGTGAAGATAATCCGGCAAATCATTTTAATTTGAATATCAGTTAAAATTTATATGTAATTATTGTTTTAATAATTTAGCTTAAGTACAGCTCAAAAAATCCGGTATTCAGATATATCATTAAGTTAGTTACTCTATGTTTAGCGATGACCGGATGATCGAAGCGGTTAAAACATCAGTCTATTTGCTCTGAAGATTCAAGGTCAAACCTGTGCGAACAATCCCAATTTATTCCAAAAATATCGAGCCCATCCTTCATCACCCAGCCGCCTACTGTTGGCCTAGCTGAATATATAGTAGGTTTTTTTTATTCTTAGTCTATATCAATTAGACACATATACATGAGGAATTCTTACGGCTTGATAAAAAGGCCCTCTTAGTGCCCACAGGGAAGAAAGAGTTAAAAACTAATAACATATGCATGTCTGAAAACGCTCGAAAAAATCAAGAAAAACGTTAGCAAATTTTAAAATTAAGTTTTTAAAGAAATATCATTATAAGTAATTACTCTTAATTGGCAAATTGTTTATAATTCGATATGCCTAATATAATTTTATTAAAAGAATTTTATGAATGTTTTAAATTTCTACTCAGTAAAATTTTGTCTTATTTTAACTGAAACATATAAATGTATGGAAATATTGATTGCATGCTATTTATTATTATTAAATTATATTAATTTTGATATAATTGAATTAACCTGTATAGATGAGTGAAATATTATATTTAAGCAACATATATTTTTAAAAATATATTAAGATGGAAAAAAGATTCCGAAAGGTTCAAACTGCGGAGTGATGATCCATTACATCCATCGAAACGCTCAAGAATTTCCAGACCCGGAATCCTTTGAACCGAATAGATTCTTGCAAGAAAATTGTGTTAAACGGCATCCTTATTCATATATACCTTTTTCTGCTGGTCCCAGAAATTGCATTGGTATGTCATTAAATCGAGCATAAATTTCGCTGATTATAAATTTTAATAAATACTTCTATTTTATGTTTTCAGGTCAAAAGTTTGCCTTACTAGAAGAGAAAACAATACTAACGAACATTTTAAGGAATTTTACTATAAAATCTATAGATAACGACGTTAACCCGATTATCGGCATCCTTTTACATCCTCAAAAGAAGATACGAATTAAATTTATACCCAGAAACTTGAATGGATGGAGGAACACTATTGATAAACAAAACTCTTTTGCTAAATGTTTTTTATAATGTTATCGCTTTTTTGAATATATTACGAAATTTATGGCACACATTAGGAATCAAAATTTATACCATTCAGATTATATTTTCTTCAAGTTTAATCTTTTCTCTTTAAGCATATATTTCATGTAATTAAATGCTTGATAATAAATATTATATATTTAAAATAACATTTTCAGCCTCATGAAATAAACCATCCTCAGGTGTAAATGAGTTCGAACATATTTTATGAAATAAACATTTCTCAGCGATGGAAGGTGTTTAATGTTTTATTAAGTGTCATTTATTTATCCATAAACCTGATTTTGGGTTTAAATAAAAGCTTTTTCATTCTTATAATAAAATTCATATTAAAAATTATGAAATCGAACTCGAAGGTTAAATATCTTTCAATAAGAAGAAAACATTCGTCCTCACAGCGATTCGATCTAGTGCTCTTGCAGTGATTGCAGTGCCCCTGGTGGTAACATTCGTCTCTAGTTGATTTTAGCAACGAGCGAAGATAGGAAGTCGAAAGACCAGTTAATCTACCGACTCTGGACATGGCCAACGGGTTGGCCACGTGGAGTTTTCCAGGCTTTTTTCCCACCAAAATAGGGTCCAACTTTGAACGTTTTTTAACTATTTTGTTATTTTAAATTGTATATATATTACTGTAATTTATTTTTTGGATCAAATAGCTCAATATTCCAAAGAATTTTGAATTGTAAATGTGTTCTTAACTGTTCTATATAAAAAAGAATAGTTATCAATGTTCCATGATTTTTAGAAACCAGGTTGAAAACGATCGTTACGGTTAATAAATAATTCTCGGTGAGACAAGGTGTTTTTGCGTAGCTTAAGAAGCATCTAGCTGGGTATTAATTAAGTATTTTATACTGTATTATAATAAAGTGTTTATATTTTTGCAACAGATTGTATAAACTATGTGGGAAGTATGTTCTCGTAAATATCGAGTTTATAGAAATATTGGACGGCAATTGAAAAAATTGAAGACTTATAAATTTCGACTGTTGTCTGTTCTTCCTCAATCTCTAGAAAAGAGTTAGATACATTAAAATGTCGAGACCAGACGTAGAAAGTTTAGGGGCAGGAGGCCCAGATTAACTATACAAGAACTTTAGGGTTAAAATGAATGTCACGTTACTTCCACTCAGATCTTCCCTGAACAAAGATAGATGACCGGCACGATTCAATTGCTAACAGGAAAAGTATGATGTATACTAAAAAGTTGAGAACATTGTGACGAAAAGTCGCAGCCTGGCATTGTGATGATGTCACACTAAATAATCGCTCGTTAGAATTAGTTTGATTTATTTGGTTACTGCAGCACGACACGTAAGTGATCAGCCGGGGGCTGCATCCCAAGAAATCTTTTATGAGACACTATTTAGGTGAAGAAAACCCGGAAAAATCCATGTGGCCAGCCCGTTGGTCATGCCGGAACCCACGACAAACTAACCACCAAAGTTCGGTTGTTCTATACTCGGGCTACTGGAGATCGCTTATTAGAATTAAAAAGTGCCGTTCAGAAATGAAAATCCCGAATCGGAAACCCGTTCTGCAATGAGAAAATTAAATACTTATAGATTTTTCACAGAATAACAGTTTCGATTGCATGCAGGCAAATGCTATATGCTACCTGTCTCACTAATGATAGCGCGGCTACGTAGCGCTATATCATTGTCGTATTAATTAAGTGAATCTAACATATATATTTTGAAGTTATATCCTTTTTTATAAGAATTATATTTAGTTTATTATTTTGTCAAATGTATTGCCAATAGCTGGCGCTACGTATAAATCAGCAAATCAAATGGAGATACAGTAGAACCTCGAAAACTCGACCTAATGTGGACCGAAGGGTGGCCGAGTTTGTGAAAATGCCAAGTTATCGGGAATGGGGTTAAAAAAAATAAGTACGAGTATTTCCTCAGAAAATACTGTACTGTACTTGTACAGTATTTACTTGTACAGAATATAACAGAGAATAAACTGCCCAAATACCCTTAAACAAAGGAAAAGTACGTCCTTTATGAAGGCATAGAGCCACTACATGAAAATGAAAATTAATGAATACACTGTGTACAGTAATTTACCTGATAAGACAGACATCAGAAAAATACTTTATGAGAGCTTTTATACTTTTATAAAGCTGTCTATAATGAAAATTAATTAACTAAGGATTTTTTCGCCCTGCCAAGGTGTGGACCAGTTATCCGGAGTGCTAAGTTATCGAGGGACGAGTTTTCGAGGTTCTACTGTATAAATTAATATCAAAAGCGCTCAGTAATTAAATAAAGAGAAACAAAACACCTTTTTTGCCGAGAAATACATATAATTTTAAAAAACAAACGTTTTCAGCCCAATTAATAGGCCATCTTCAGGTCGAAAACGAAAAGGAACGTAAATGTTCCATGAATAGAACATAAAAATTTTAAATCAAAAATTAATTAGTCTCTAAGTGAATTAATATAAACTAGTTCACTTACAGATATTGCTGCCGTTTCTAAAATAATTTCAACCTCTCAGTATAATGGTTAGGTTAGTCTTATATTTAGAGTAAATCTAGGATAAAATTGTCCTGTGATCTAATGCTATTACCAATCGCATAAATGTTTGAAACCAAGTGAATGGCTTATTTAATTTAATCTACCAGTAATAAATAAAAATCTGTTCGATGTAAAAATAGAAGAAATTGTAATTTACAATTATTGATGGACCGATTTCTTGAAACTTCCAAAAATTTTAAATTTATAGAATAGTGATTTCCTTTAGTAAATTTTGTGGGCTACACTGAAAATTGCTTCGTTCTCATTCTTAATTTTGTTAGATTAAAGCAGTGGTACTCAACTGTTGACCGCGGAATATTGGTGTGCAAGAACTTCTAACAAGATGTCACAAAATTATTTCAATTAAAGAAACCGGAAGATTTTCATTTATAAATAATAGAATTAGAATTATGTAAACATGACAGATTAGAATTATGGGGGAGTGAATGATGTCACTGAATACTGGTTGAAGGTTCGGTCTTCATCAATGTGTGAACCACGAGGAGTTTTGCGTGTTTCTTCACCTAAATAGGAAGTTACCGTAGGAACTCCTCCCGGGATATCTCTCCTCAGTAGATCGTCACGATATATTCGATACATTTAATGTATTGTGTTTCTGTGTAGTTTTTAAGAAAGTGACAAAACACTACTTGACAAAAATTATTTTAAAATATTTTTGAAATTTCTGTCGAGTGTACTTAGTCTGCGGAAAATATTATCTGTAAAACTTCGATAAAATTTTCACACATTAAGCCACAAAGCCACGTCAAGGCGACACCCATTTTGTGGTAGTTTTTTGGTTTCCAGAAACTGACCCTGATTGCTTGACAGAATAACAATCAGAGAATAAAACTGGATATTCGTTGCTATTCGATTAATTCAATAAACTCAAATCGTTTTCAAAAACTCCAATTTTTATGTCATTAATCAAATGTTCTTATTGAAAAAGATGGATTCTCGATACAGATTTGTCATTATAAATTAAATTTAGCAACGAATAAAAGCTTACTTTAAAAATGTAAACAATTCATAACATATTTGCACATTTTAAACATACATATTGTATACTAAAATATATAATTATACAATATATACTTATTATAATACATGATATCACTTTCAGAATGCTTGCTTCGCTTGCTGATTCATTTCCTAGTCACGATGTGCCGTTACGAAGTTTGCAATCATAAATTGTTAACTTTTTCTATCACTTGATTTTCTTTTGGATACTTGGTAGCTAGCAATACTAGTCTAATCTTTGAAATCTTAAAACCAAGCTTGTCGTTGTCCTATTGCATTTAAAGTCTCTTTTAGTAAAACTCTCCAGTGTAAAAGTGTGTTTTTGCAAGAAAAGTCTGTTAGAACGCATCCTGCAAACTGTATTTTATGCTTTTTAATAGTCCTGAGAAGACGTAGAATGGCGTGAAATCTCCTCCATACTTTTTCATTAGTAATTTTATCAGGCCTACTAATTTTCAGAATTCTTCGACAGAACCTGTAATCAACGAAATTCCTTCTGATCTTCAACTTTCCTCATCAACCTTTTAGTTCAGAATATCAGTTTCATCAGGATTGAATTAAGTATGTAATACAGGAAATTCCAGAAATCCTTAGGCACCGTTGATTTATTTAGAAGTTATTATATTCAGAAGAAAAATAAGCAGAATTATAAAAATCGGACTTGGAGACACATGGTACAAAAATAGATCCAAATAGAATTTTTATGTAGAATTTTAGTAATGTTTGACATTATGCATGAATATTTTTCTACTATTATGTTAACGTAATGAATTTCCAATTGCTTTTGTTATCGGTTATAATGTAATAACATCAAAAAATTATAAAATATATTTGCAAATTTGTAATAGAATCGTTGTCTCATTTAATAAATTTATCTTTTACGGTTAATGCTGATCCGAGTATTTTAAATACAACATAGCACATCCTATATATAAAACGAGCAACTTAAATGTCAGCATTATCGGCGTATTTCAGTTTTCTTCGTTTTTGGAAATTGCATTGATTATATCAACTGTTTATTTGATAAGTTATTTGTTATAGTATGAGAATGTATCCATTCTGTAAAAGTTTTTTCCGAAAAAAATAACTTGAGAGATATTATTAAAAATAAAAAAAGGATGTAGGAAGTATACTGAGTTGTCAAATTATAATGTTAAATACTATACACTCTAAGCTTATATACTTATTAAATTTTGCAAAAGAATTATCATATTGAAGATATTAGAAATTACTTATCCCGATTCTTCCTTCTTGTATTACGATAAAGAAATGTCAAAAGAAATTCCATCTTGAAGCAGTACAAACCAGATGATATTCTTGTCAAATATCTGAAATTAAATGATAAATGACGTAAATATATATATCAAAATTAACGAATTTAATTGTTTACGTGAAAAAATTAAATGTTATTTTCAGAAATAAATACATGTGTAGTAAATAAAATACAAATGCTAATTCTTTATT